GTGCTTGGGGCCCTGCACCCATGTGGGAGACCCGGAAGACGTTCCTGGCTCCTGGCTTTGGATTAGCCCAGCTCTAGTTGTTTCAGCCATATGGGGAGTGAACCAGTGGACAGAAGAGCTCTCTCTGTCTGTAACTCTGCCTCTCAAATAAATAAATAAAATCTTTAAAAAAAAAAGAAAAAGATGCTCATTGAAGAACATGGGAAGCAGTAGATGATGGCTGACATGGATGGGTCCCTACTGTTACCGCTGATTCAAACCCCAGGAACTTATTCTATCGAAGACAAACTATGTGGCCAATGAATGAGCACACAAGAAGGCAATTAGCAAAAATTTTATTGGAAAAAAAAAAAAAGTGAAGCGCTAGAAACTCCTACAGCTGATAGATCCGGTGGGTATAAAGGACTGAGAGCCCAGTGTGCGTGCAGACTGGGGTTGTTATGGACATGAGTCTGGGTCCTCTGTCTCTTCTCCCCTCTTCTGGAAAAGTGTCTCTCCCCCACTCGCGGAGGAACAACACTGGACCCTGTGCTGTTCTCTTTCCCAGGCCCTTCCCAGATTTGCTGCCGTCCCCCCGGCCTCCGTGGAGGAGTGGCACCCCCCGCCAGCCGGCTCTCTCAGGGGTTGCTCAGGGCTTGCTCAGATGTTCCTGGTGCATGTTGTCTCTCTCCTCCTTTATAGTCCTCTTCTACCAATCCGTGCTCTGCTGCCCACACACCGAGCACGCTGCTCTCCTCCAATCAGGAGCAGGATCAGCTCCTGCAGCTTATTAGTCCAATTGGTGAGGCAGCTGTGTGGAAGTTGCTTATTCTCTCTCAGCGCCATCAGATGCATAGAATTGTCCTAGCAGTTCCAGTAATTTAGTCTAGTCTCGGTTGCTCCCCATGGAAAAGTGTGGGTGGGGATGTTTAGATGTGGCACTCCCCTAAACAAACTCCTCCAGACAATGTTGGCCACCGAAGTTCTTATCTGTTGAAGAAAGTGACTCCTTCAGTCCAATGATTATGATCTTGTGGGACCAGCTGTCTTACTCCCTCAATTCAGTGAATTCCTTTTGATAAAGAACACCTGGGATGAAGGCGGACAGACCAGAGGCGAGGTCCTGCTTTCAAGACTTGTTTCCTCATTCTATTGCACCTCACTTTTTCTTCCCATTTTCTTCATCCCCTCTTACACACACAGGCTCATATCTACCCAGCTGCCTTAACACTACGAGACCGGAATGGAATTCCTGACTTCTAGCTTTGGCCTGGCTCAGCCCTAGCTGTTGCAGATATTTGGGGAATTAACCAGCAGATAGAAGATTCTCTCTCTCTCTGTCTCTCTGTCTCTCAAATAATAATGATTTAAAAAAAAAAATAGAAATGAGGCCTTTGGGAAGTGATTGGATTGGATAAAGTTGCTGGGTTGGGCCCATGATTAAATCACATTGGCTTCATAAGGAGAGACATAGATTCCTGCTCGTCCTTGTCATGTGCTACCTCAGGCCTCTGCACCAAGAAGACTTCTCTCTCTCTCTCTCTCTCTCTCTCTCTCTGCCTCTCCTCTCTCTTTGTAACCCTGACTTTCAAATAAATCAATAAATCTTTTTTTAAAAAAACGGCAATGGCGTCGGGTACAGCGGGTTAAGCCATCTGGACACAGGTTTGAGTCCCCTGGGATTACTCTGGTTATTCCAATACTCAGCTTCTGATCCAGCTCCCTGCGAATGTGCATGGGAAAGCAATGATTGTTGACCCAATTTTTTTGGCCCTTGCTACTCACACGGGAGACCCATTTGGGGAGTGAACCAGTGGATGGAAGTTCTTTCTTGGTAATTGTCTCTCCCTCTCTCTATATAACTCTGCCATTCAAGTAAATCAATGAATCTGTTTTGTAAATGGTAATATACTAGAGATGAAATATGAGCATTTATTGTATTATTTCTAAAAATGTTTAAATTTTATTTATTTATTTATTTTGACAGGCAGAGTGGACAGTGAGAGAGAGAGACAGAGAGAAAGTCTTCCTTTGCCGCTGTTCACCCTCCAATGGCCGCCGCGACCGGCACACCAAACTGATCCAATGGCAGGAGCCAGGTGCTTCTCCTGGTCTCCCATGGGGTGCAGGGCCCAAGCACTTGGGCCATCCTCCACTGCACTCCCTGGCCACAGCAGAGAGCTGGCCTGGAAGAGGGGCAACCGGGACAGAATCCAGCGCCCCGACCGGGACTAGAACCCCGTGTGCCAGCGCTGCAAGGCGGAGAATTAGCCTAGTGAGCCGCGGCGCCGGCCAAAATGTTTAAATTTTTAAAACTTTCATTTACTTGCAAGGCAGAGTTGGGACTTAAACAAGGTACTTCAATACGAGATACGGGTTCAGAAGCGGCAACTAAATCATTGAGCCAAATACCCATTCCCACTCTATTTTTTAACAATGTTTTGATTTTGAACTGTATGAACATAGTTCCTTTCTCAAAAACAAAATAAAATTTAAGCAAATAAAATATCCCATTGCCTTCCATAGGTATAGCAGTTTGGGTTTTATTCATTGCTCTAGAAAGCCAAGCTAAAAGAAGACAATTTTATTAGTTCTTTTCCATACGATGTTTAATTGAAAAGATCTTAGAGATTATCTGACATAGTAGGCAGAATAATGGTTGCAAAAGCTGTCCACACCCTTAATTCCCAGAACCTGTGAATACATTAGGTTACATGACAAAGGGGAATTAAAGTTGCAGGTAGAATTTAGGTTGCTGGTCAGCTGACCTTAAAAATAAAGAGTTGATCTTAGGGTATCTGCGTGGGCCCAGCACCATAACAAGGGTCCTTGAAAGTGAGAGGAGGAGTCAGAAGAGAGCCCGCATCCAACGCAGCGTGAGCAGGACTCGGTGGTTCCTGCTTCGGCTCTGAAGGTGGAGGAAGGGAAAGCAGACCACAGGTAGGTACTGGAGAAGCAAGGAAGTGAGTTTTCCAAGGGACCCCAGAGAAGAGCACAGGGCTGCTGACACCTTGATTTTAGCCCAGCGAGACCCCCATCCGACTTCTGACCTCCAGAAACATGAGGGAAGAAATCTGCCAAGTTTGTTATAACTTGTTTTGCAGCAGTAGGAAACCTGTACATCTAGCTAACGCTTAACCTTGCAGGGGAGGAAACTGAGACCGCAGAACATCAGAGAGTAAACAGTCGACACTGGGCCCCAGATCTACCAGGTGGTGAGGCTGTTCTCTTTAACTGTAAAATGTTCATAAATAATAATGCATTGGAGGGTAAATCATCTTTCACCTCAAACACACTTTGTCATAGTCAGGCCTCAGACACATTTGAAATATGATTTTCTCTTTGAAAAAGCCTGCTTATTGACAACATTTCTCATTTTAAAAGCAATCAGGGCAGCTGGTGCTGTGGCATAGCAGGTAAAGCCACCGCCTGCTGTGCCGGCATCCTGGCTGCTCTCCTTCCAATCCAGCTCCCTGCTAATGTGCAGGGGAAAGCAGCGGAGGATGCCCAAGTGCTTGGGTCCCTGCACTCATATGGGAGACCCAGAAGAAGCTCCAGTTTCCTGGCTTTGGATCGGCCCAGCTCTGCAGGCCATTGCGGCCATCTGGAGAGTAAACCAGCAGATGGAAGCCACCGCCCCCCCCCCACCCCACCCCGCGCCTCCGTGTAACTCTGCTTTTCAAATAAATAAATCTTAAAACAAAACAAAACAGGATATTCCACTGTGAAAGAACCACATTTGAGCCCTGTTGAACTGGTTAGACTTGTCTGCTTTTGTAAAAATGGATTGGATTTCTCACTTCAAATTGATTCAGTTTTTATTCCCATGCAAATAAAGAGCTTCACAGGAAGATAAACACAGCATTCCATTCTAGGGAAAGTTAGTGCAGGTGTCACAGGATCACTATAGATTTCAATACTGGTTCATTGCCAAGAGTAATAAAAACAGCACTTGATCAATGGGCTGGAAAGTTAACTCAAAATACACGTTGTAAGGACATCAGAAGGGGGAAGAGTCCCTCAAGTGGCATAGGGAGAAAATGTGATTCTTGTAAAAACAAGAAAACCAAATATGCCTTAGAGACCTGGTGTGAGAGCACTGAGCCTCAACCCCCAGGCCTGATGGAACCGGGCACAGGTGACAAGTCTAAAGGCTGATAGTAGAATGTTGATTGCTCCAGAAATCCCCCGCACCTGGGACGTTCCAAAGTGCTAAGACAATGCACTGTAAGAGCCCTTCTGCCCTTATCAGGGCCCGTGTGGCGCTCTGCACCTCCCCCAACAAGGAGTTTAAAAAGGGACTCTGCCTGCTGCTCCAACAGAATAAAGCCTGGCTTCAAACCCCTGTCCTCTATCCGGGCAGGCTCGACCCCACTCCGTCTTACCTCGCTCCCCCATTCTGTTCTCCCTAAAATACAGTCTTCTCACTTTAACTAGCCACCTCCTCTCCTTTGAACCCTAAAAACCTAACACCCTGGCACTCAGTGTGAAGCAAGACATGGAGTGTGCTAGGATATGGATTTACTTTACTCATATTTAATATGCATAATTAGAACAATCAAGTAAGAACAGATTAGATATCACTTTATTTTTATTTATTTTTTTTAAAGATGTATTTATTGGGCCGGCGCCGCGGCTCACTAGGCTAATCCTCCGCCTAGCGGCGCCGGCACACCCGGTTCTAGTCCCGGTCGGGGCGCCGGATTCTGTCCCGGTTGCCCCTCTTCCAGGCCAGCTCTCTGCTATGGCCAGGGAGTGCAGTGGAGGATGGCCCGGGTGCTTGGGCCCTGCACCCCATGGGAGACCTGGAGAAGCACCTGGTTCCTGGCTCCTGCCATCGGATCAGCGCGGTGCGCCGGCCGCAGCTCGCTGGCCGCGGCGGCCATTGGAGGGTGAACCAACGGCAAAGGAAGACCTTTCTCTCTGTCTCTCTCTCTCACTGTCCACTCTGCCTGTCAAAAATAAATAAATAAATAAATAAATAAATAAATAAATAAATAAATAAATAAATAAAAGAGAAAAAAGATGTATTTATTTATTTGAAAGTCAGAGCCACAGAGAGAGAAGGAGAGACAGAGAGAGGTCTTCCATCCCCTGGTCTACACCCCAGGATGGAACCAAGCTGAAGCAAGGAGCCAGGAGCTTCCTCAGGTCTCCCACATGTTGGCAGGGGACCAAGCACCCAGGCCATCCTCTGCTGCCTTTCCCAGGCCACCAGGAGGGAACTGAACCAAAAGTGGAGCAGCTGGGACACAAACTGACACCCATATGGGATGCTGACATTGCTGCAGGCAGCAACCTCACCTGCTATGCCACAATGCCAGCTCCTAGGCGTCATTTTAGACTCCACAATTCCCTGGTATGGTTGAAACAGTGCTGGTCTTAAATTCGGAAGACCTGAGTTCAAGGATGGGTTTTAAATTCGGAAGACCTGAGTTCAAGGATGGGTTTTGCCATTTCCAGGTGGTGATCACCTGCCTGAGTCTATAATTAAAAATCTGTTTAGAAATGGAAACAATGATACCTGCCTGACCTGAGAGCAGGTGTTCGTGTGTTCACAATGACATAGCGGTGGGCCAAGGGAAAGGAGAGCATATGGCGGTGAGAGCCGCAGGTGCCGTTACCAGTGCCGTGTGAGATACCTGACCTCTCTGGGAAAGCAAGAACAGTGACCTGGGTCCAAACCAGTAGTTTCTTATTCCAGTACACACAGCATTGGCACCGGAAGGTGTCCTGCTGCCAGTACTGCCCTGACCTTGCCGTGGGTATCTTCATCTACTGCCCTGAACGTTTTCGGGGTTTCTTCTTCAGTGTATCTAGGTAACGTATCCAGGAACAGAGACAGGATGGCGTGGCCCCCTTACGTTGCATACCAGTTAAGCTGCTTTAAGAAGCAAGTGAGGAAATCCCATCTCAAAATGCCTCAGCCAGTGTGGCAGGGGCTGGGGGGAGGCCTTCCCCCTTGCCTGGCAGAGACCCCAGCTGTGAGAACCAGGGAGTACCTGCAGACAGCACCCTCGGGTGGGACTGGGTGTCCTTATGATGGACAGTGGTCGTGGTGAAACTTCCCCACCTGGCCCTTGAATCACGGGTGGGAACAAGAAGCCAGAGCAGAAGAGGAAGAACAAGATGGACACCACCTGTGGCTGCAGCTGGCACTGTGGTCTGTGGGCACACGTGAGCTGTCACTTTGAGTGTGCCCAGGAATAACTAAGGACATCTGGGAGTGGTGAGCGAGCTGGTAGGGGCTGGTGCCCGGAGCAAAAGGCAAACTGCTTTAAGGGTTTTCAGCTGCTCAGTGTCTCTGGGGTTAAAGGTGGATCATTCCAAATACATAGGGGTCCTTCAGAAAATGTGCAGAGAATGGAATTAAAAGACAGATTTGGGTAAAAAAAATTGGAATCTATGCATAGAGCCACCTTCAAAAAGTTAATTAAAATGCATGTGAGAAAGAAACTATGCATTGATTTCAAAATTTTTGTTATTGAAATAAATATCCTTTAATTTCATTTTCCATGGGTTTTTTTTTTTTTTTTTGAGGTACATGCAGACATGAGAGGGATGATTTTTTTAAAATATTTATTTATTTATTTGAAAGACAGAGTTACAGAGAAGCAGAGGCAGACAGAGCTGGGCCGATCCGAAGCCAGGAGCCAGAAACTTCCTCTGGGTCTCCCACATGGGTGAGGGGCCCAAGGACTTGGGCCATCTTCTGCTGCTTTCCCAGGCCACAGCAGAGAGCTGGATCAGAAGAGGAACAGTTGGGACTCACATTGGTGCCCACATGGGATGCCAGCGCTACAGGCGGTGGCTTTACCTGCTATACCACAGCACTGGCCCCGAGGGATGGTATTTTGAAAATATTAAGCTGCTGTAGTTTTTTTCCCTCTTAACTCAATTTCCTGGCACACCATAAGTTTGAGCTACGGGTCTTGTCCAAGGCCAGGCAAGGCTGGTCATCTTAAATCAGTAATTGCTTTGAGTTTCAAAGATGATTTTCTTGAGGCCTTAGCATGGGGCCATCAGATATCCTGGTTTGCCTGAGATAATCTCATCCATACTTACGGTCTTCTGTTTTTTAATATTTATTTATTCATTCATTCATTCATTTTATTTGAAAGGCAGAGGTCTTTCATCAGCTGGTTCACTCCCCAGATGCTTACAATATTGAGAGTTGGGCCAGGCAAAAGCCAGGAACTAGGAACTCAGTCTAGGACTTCATGTTGGTGGCAGGGATCCAAGTACTGGAACCACCTTCTGTGGCTTCCTAGGGTACTCATTAGCTGGAAGTTGGATCAGAAGCAGAGCTGAACTCAAACCAGGCTCTCCAGAATGGGATGTGGGCATCCTAAGTAGTATCTTTTTTTTTTTTTTAATTTATTTGAAAGGCTGAGTTATGGGGGGGGCGGGGGGAGATCTTCCAACCACTGGTTTACTCTCCAAATGGCCACAAATGGCCAGTGCTGGGCCAGGCTAAAGCAGGGTCTCCCACATGGGTGCAGCGGCCCAAAGATTTGGGCCATCCTCCATTGCTTTCCCAGACCATTAGCAGGGAGATAGATTAGAAGTAGCTGGAAATTGAACCGGTGCCCATAAGGGATGCCAGCCCTGCAGGTGGGGGCTCAACCCACTAAGCCACAGTGCCTGGCTCCCATGCAGTGTCTTAATGTCTCTGCCAAATGCCTGCCCCTCACACTTGTGGCCTTGCAGTATTATTAGTGGCATCTTTCCCTCAAAAGTGTCCCAGTCTAGGCCATAAATTAGTCACCCTTCCTTAGAAGACAATGGTTTTGAAACCTTTGTGTTGGGGCCGGCGCTGTGGCATAGCGGGTAAAGCCGCTGCCTGCAGTGCTGGCATCCCATATGGGTGATGGTTCGCATCCAGGCTGCTCCACTTCTGATCCAGGCTTCTGCTACAGCCTGGGAAAACATAGAGGATGGCCCAAGTCCTTGGGCCCCTGCACCAGTGTGGGAGACTGGGAAGAGGCTGCTGGCTCCTGGCTTCGAATCAGTGCAACTCCGGCCGCTGCAGCCATTTGGGGAGTGAACCATCGGATGGAAGACCTCTCTCCTTCTCTCTGTGTATAACTCTGACTTCCAAATAAATAAATAAATCTTTAAAAAAAAAGAAACCTTTGTGTTGAAAGAAGATTTTCTCAGTGCTTTTAGTACCCTGCACAAACAAAGCATCAAGTCTCACAAAAAGATGATCAAGTTTATAAATCAGGACTAGCACGAATCAGGGAGGAGGCTGAACAAAGTGCCAGCGTCTGCTAGGGACTTGTTTGAAAGTCACAAACCCCAGATCTGCTGAGTCAGAAACTCAGGGCACGGGCTGAGTCACTGGGCGCTCCCAGCCCTCTGTGTCTTTCTATGTAGCTGAGGTGTGAGATCGTCCCCGGTGGACAGAGAGGAGAAGGAGAGAGCTGCAGAGCTAGCATGCTGCTTGGGCCACACGCAGCCTCCCTTCCCCAGTCTGGAGTTCCAAAGGTGTGAGTTAGAAACACACTGATAGCAATGGAATGTTCTAGGACCTCAGGAGCACTAGTGGGTGGAGGAGGGGCAGAGCCTGGAGCTGCCCAGGTGGAGACATTTTGATACGGCAGCTGGGGGCTGAGCAGTTGCATGCAGAGGGAGGTGTCGGGATAGGGAAGTCCCAGGAGCCCTAACTGTCATGTGCCTAGCGCCTGTGGGCTCCAGGTTGCCGGGTGGGGCAGGGAAAGGCGGGGACTCAGAAGAAGCAAATGGCAGATGGTCAGACACAGAGGGCAGTGGAAGGGATGAGTCTCACTGCAGATGTCACCATCCAGAACCAGACCGGCCCCGGTCTCCGCAGCAGAAACCAATAAGGATGCTGATGACACAGCATGGATAAGCGGGTGCCACTTCTCGCTGCTGCCTGCCCTCCGCCAACACACGCCCGTGCCCATCCCAGAGCAGGACAATGGGAAGGGGCGGAGACCCATAATCACCTGCTGGATGGACCGGCATCCCCGCAACCTGAGGGTGGTGGTTCTGGAGGAGAGCGGCAGAGCTTGGAGGATTCCAGTAAGAGAGAGAGAGACAGAGAGAAAGTCCTCCTTTTGCGGTTGGTTCACCCTCCAATGGCCACCGGGGCTGGCGCGCTGCGGCCGGCGCATCGCACTGATCTGAAGGCAGGAGCCAGGTGCTTCTCCTGGTCTCCCATGGGGTGCAGGGCCCAAGCACTTGAGCCATCCTCCACTGCACTCCCGGGCCACAGCAGAGAGCTGGCCTGGAAGAGGGGCAACCGGGACAGAATCCGGCGCCCCGACCGGGACTAGAACCTGGTGTGCCAGTGCCGCAAGGCGGAGGATTAGCCTGTTGAGCCACAGCGCCGGCCAAGATTCCAGCATTTGTGACGGGACCACTTTGAGACATTGGTGTGGCTGAGACTCCCTCTTGCGAAAGGAATATGGAAGCTGTCAGAATCACACTGGAGTCGCCTGGGTCAACCTCATCCAAAATAGACGAATCAAGGTTCTGGGAGGGTTCCCATGCACACAGCAACGCTCACACAAGACGCTGCCGGAGCCACGACCTTGTGTAGAGGTCACCAGAGCAGCGGGCAAAAAGCACTTTCTGCAAGGTCGCCGAGCCAGCCGCTGCCGTTCAACCTGAGACGCGCGTCACCTGGCTCTCAATCACTGCAGCCAGAGATTATTGCTACACAGCTCCTGATGCAACCACTTCCTCCTTTTGCCTTCAACAACTTCCCCGCGCCCAGCCGCTGATTACGCCCGCGGCTCACTGCTGCGCACGCATTCCCACTGCAATGCTCTGCTACTCCCAAGTGAATACGAGAGTTCCTTGGAGAGTCTGTGTCTCTCCTCCGGTTGTTGTTTGTTGTGTCAGTTAGGCTGACACTGTGGACAGAGATAAATTCGCCCACCTGTGTGGTTTTGGGTCACCTGCATTAAGGACCCTCAGCCTGGGGCTGAACACAGTCTCCCTGGAAAGGACTTGCTTGAACCTAACATTTACAATATTAGGCTCCTCCCTTCCTCCCTCCCTCCCTCTCTTTCTTTCTTCTTTAAAAGATCTATTTATTTATTTGAAAGTCAGAGCTACAGAGTAAGGAGACTGAGACAGAGATAGATCTTCCATCTGCTGGTTCTCTCCCCAAATGGCCACAATGGCAGGGGCTGGGCCAGGCCAGAGCCAGGAGCAAGGAGCCCTACTGGCTTCCCACGTGGGTACAGGGGCCCAAGCACTTGGACCATCTTTGGCTGCTTAACCAGGTGCATTAGCAGGGAGCTGGATTGGAACAGTGGGGACATGAACTGGTGCCCACATGGGAGGCTGGGATTGCAGGCACCAGCTTTACCCATTATGCCACAACGCTGACCCCTACAGCTTCCTTTTAACGCAGACTCTGACAGGTGGCAGGTGATGGTTCAAGTGATTGGGTCCCTACTACCTATGTGGGAAACTTGGATGGAGTTCCTGGCTTCAGCTGTCCCATTGCAGTTATTTGGAGAATGAACCAGCGGATGGGAGATCTCTCCCTGTCTCTCTCTCTCTTTTTCTCTCTCTCCCTTCCTTCTCAAACTAAACAAAATTAAAAAAAAAATCTCCCATAAAGAAATCTCTGAACTTCCCTATTAGATAATTTATTAAGATAAAGTTTTACATGTCCTCACAGTGAATCCCTGTCTGACCGGTTTGCTTCAATACCTAAAAGAAGCTGAGTTCTATGAAGCAATGGTTTCTGACAGGCAGTTCTGGACCAGTGGTGCTGGCATTCCCCGGGAACTCCCTGCAGCCTCTCATCCAGCTGCCCCCCAGATCTGCCACGTCAGAAGCACCTAGGGTGCAAGCAGGCTTTGGCTGCAGCCCAGGAAAAAGGCCAGTGAGTCCTCTCCCCGAGAAAGTGACTGCAAAGCCGGACAAAGTGGGTGAGAGCGATCTGTTCCGTGCTTTGGAATCAACCAAAGGCACGAGACAGTCTGAGACGCACGGCAGCTTGAACCTGCCGAATTCTGGGGAGGAGCAGCGGAGGCCTGGAGGCCGAGGCGTCCTTCCTTGGGGTTTCCCCTGCTTCCTGCAGCCTGCGGGTGTGGAAGCGCTGCTGCGGCAGGACAGCCCGCGGTGCGAGAAGCTGAGCTGCTGGGGTTGGCCTAGCGGTGGTGCCCACGCACAGCGGCACTCGGTCTTGTCCTCACGTCCCTTATGACATCAAATAGTAATTCCGATGTCAGGAAGAACTGAAAGGCACTGGAGATGGTCAATATGTGGGGGGTGATGTAACAGGCTCTTGCTGTGGCTTGCATGTGGTTTTCCCCTTGCAAGTGTTGCAAGCTTGGTCCCCATTGTCCCGGTTCTGACAGCTGAGGTGACCTTTAAGGGGCGGGGCTTAGTGGGAGGCTGATGGGGTCCCGGGCACTGCTCTTGGGACTGCAGTAGTGTATTTCCTAAGAGACTGAGCGAATTCTTTCCAGACTGGCTTAGGTGCTGCCGACTATTTGCGGAGAAGAGGCTGTTATGCAGTGGGTCATCCTCCTCTCTGCCTACCAGCAGATGGAAGATCTCTGTGTAACTCTGCCTTTCAAATAATAAATCTTTTTCTGAAAAAAAGTAGTAAAAACTGAGGAATTAAAATAGTATGCTAAAAATATTTACTTAGCACAAAAAATGGGTAAAAAGAACATAGATAAAGACAGGAGACATATAGAAAAATTTAGCAAAATGGTAAGTATAAATAAAATGTAGTATTAACTATATTAACTGCAAATAATCCAAACATTCTTTTTTTAAAATTTTGGGAATATATATTTTTAAAAGATTTGATAATCCCTTTTTAGGTAAAAACAAAGCATGGCTAGAGAAAGAGAGGAAATACCCAGGTTACCACTGACAGATTGTTTAAGGCCTTATATGTACTTGCACATACAGCATATCACAGCACAGAGACGCGTGCCATCTGGCGCTCTTAAGATGCAAAAAACATCAGAATAGCGTTCCATGTTCATGGAGTGGTGCCATCTCTGGATGTCTTTTTTTTTTTTAATATTTATTTGAAATGCAGAGTCAGAGAAAGAGAGGGAGAGACAGGGAGACCTTCCATCCACTGGTTGACTAGCCCCAGCCCCTGGACTTCACCTCTAAACACTCATTTTATCATTCTTCAGTGGAAACAGTTTTCTCCTTAGCAAAATTGACCTGGGAAACAAAAGAAATGCTTTCCCAAGCAAATCTTCTTTCAATGTGGAGCATAATGAGGACAGAGCAGCAGTTCCTAAAATTTCATAAAAGCTACTAGTAAGGCGATGGCTTGGGTCATTTTGCAGTTGATCCACCTGAACGAGGTTTCCTATCTATGTTATTTTCATCTTCTTCGTCATCCTGGTTGCACTGTCCAGGGTGTGCCATTGTCCTCTGCCTCCCGCTGCACCAGCTGGCTGCAGGGTTCGGTTACCAGCTCCCTCATCTGGGCCACAGCCCGCAGCAGGCCCTGGAGAGGGTTGGCATCACAGGGTGACTCAGCCATAGCCTTTGCAGCTTCTTGTCCATGACTCCCTGGCGACCCATGAGCTTCAGGAGCGTATCACAAAGTCTAAACATTCTAATTTTAAAAAGGGATTCAGATTAGATAAGAATGGCACAATCCAGCTCCAGGCAGTCTGTAAGAGGCACATCTTAACATTCAATGACACAAGTAGCCTGAAAGTAAAATGATGGAAAAAGATACTTGTAGACTATGACAACAGTAATCGTAAGAGAGCTGGCGTGGGTATCAGCTAAAACAGACTCTGAGGCAAGAAATATTACTGGAAACAAAGAGAACACTTGGAAATAATAATTTTTTAAAAGCCACTATGTCCAGAAAGCATGAGAATCATGACTATATCATGAATATATACAGATCTAAATGCAGAGCCTTGAAAATGTGAAGCAAAACTGACAGAGTTAAAGGACAAATAGAGTCAGGGGGCAGATGTCGTGGTGGAGTGGGTTAAGCTGGTTTGAGTTCCAGCTTCTCTGCTTCTGATCCAGCTTCCTACTAATGCATCCTGGGATGGCCCAAATGATGGCCCAAGTGCTCAGTCCCTGCCACTCCCAAGGCAGAGCTGGTGGCATTCTGGGCTCCCGGCTCTGGCCTGGCCACGTCCTGGCAGTTGTGGACACTTGGGAAATGAATCAGCAGATAGAAGTTCTTTTTAAAAAATGAAACAAAAGTTTTAAAAGTAAACCAAAGAGAAATGAAGCCATAAGTCTTTGCAGATTGCATATAGGGGTCTAAAATGTTCATGGAGGGCCGGCGCTGTGGCATAGTGGGTAAAGCCTCCACCTGCAGGGCCGGCATCCTATGTGGGTGCCGGTTCAAGTCCCAGCTGCTCCACTTCCAATCCAGCTCTTTGCTATGGCCTAGGAAACCAGTAAAGGATGGTCCAAGTGTTTGGGTCCCTGCACCCATGTGGGAGATCCAGAAGAAACTCTTGGCTCCTGGCTTCGGATTGGCGCAGCTCCGGCTGTTGTGGCCATTTGAGGAGTGAACCAGCAGATGGAAGACCTCTCTCTCTCTCCCTGCCTCTGCCTCTCTCTAACTTTGCCTTTCACATAAATAAATAAATCTTTTTTTTAAAAAAAAAGTTCATGGAAAGTGTGTATTACAGAAACACTATGCATGGTTTTCAATTTTTTAAAATAAATTTATCTTTTTAAAAAAATACTTAGTTTATTTGAAAGGCAGAATGCCGAGAGAGAGAGAGAGAGAGAGAGAGAGAGAGATCTTCCATCCACTTGTTCACTCCTAAAGCCAGGAGCTTCTTCTAGGTCTCAAACATGGGTGCAGGTGGTCCATCTTCTGTTGTTTTCCCAGGTGCATTAGCAGGGAGATGGATTGGAAGTGCAGCAGGATGAGACTCGAACTGGCATTCTAAGACGGGATGCTGATGTCACAAGCAGCGGCTTAACTCACTGAGCCACAATGCTGACCCCAAGATTCTAATTGGTACTGTAACCAAGTACCCCAAACAGGGCAGCTTAAAGGATGGAAATGTTTTGTTATCTCACAGTTCTGGGGACTGGATGTCTGGAAGCTAGAAGAAGAATCAAAACGTGCTGTGTCATGGTGCAGCAGATGGAGCCACCGCCTGCTGGTTCAAATCCTAGCTGCTCAGCTTCCAATCCAGCTCCCTGCTAATGTGCCTGGGAAGGCAGCAGAAGGTGGCCCAGGTGCTTGGGGCCCTGCCACACATGTGGGAGACCCAGATGGAGTTCCTGGTTCCTGGCTCTGGCCCAGCCTAGAGCTGGCTGTTGCAGCAATTTGGGGAGCAAACCAGTGGATAGAAGATCTCTCTGTCTTGTCTCTCCCTTTCCCTCTGTAACTCTGCCTTTCAAATAAATATATCTTCAACAAACAAACAAGAAAACCAAAGTACTGGGGATTAGGACTTCAACCTATGGATCAGGGGTGGGATCCGGTGGGGTGGGCAGAATTCAGCCCACCTTGTGGGTGGAAAGACAATCTGCCATATTTCCATGCAATTTAGACACAAAACAGGAAGGGAACACAGACCGCACACTATCACACACATTTTGCTAAATGACAGAAGCCACGTGCCATAGACTGTGTATCTTAGGGCTCCATTTATGTGAAACGCCCGCAAAGGGCAAATTTACAGACAGAAAGGCGTTCAGTGATGACTGGGCTTGGGGTGTGCTGTGGTTTGAGGGTGTCCCCCACAAAGCACGTGCTGGAAACTTCATCCCCAAGGCAACAGAGACCTGGAGCTTGTGAGAGGTGGATCAATCGCGAGGGCTCCACCCTCCTAGATGGATCAGCACGGAGTATAAGGGGGGTCTGATGCTGCCAGTTCTGCCCCTTGCTTTCTCTTACCCTTTCTTGCTTTTTTTTTTTAAGATTTATTTATTTATTTGAAAGTTGGAGTTGCATAGAGAGAGAAGGAGAAGCAGAGAGAGAGAGAGAGAGAGAGAGAAAGAGAGAGAGAGGTCTGTGCCCATCCGCTAGTTCACGCCCCAGTTGGCTGCAATGGCTGGAGCTGCACCGATCCGAAGCCAGGAGCCAGGAGCTTCTACTGGGTCTCCCATGTGGGTGCAGGGGCCCACACACTTAGGCCATCTTCTACTGCTTTCCCAGGCCATAGCAGAGAGCTGCACAGGAAGTGGAGCAGCCAGGACTTAAACCGGTGCCTGTGTGGGATGTCGGCACTGCAGGCAGCGGCTTTACCTGCTACGCCACGGCGCCGGCCCCTCACCCTCTCTTTCTTTGCCCCTCTGCCATGGGGAGATCCAGCCTGAGGAGAGGTCCTCACCTGAGGCCATCCCCCAGCCTCCAGCACTGTGAGCCGGGACTGCTGCGCACTGTGAACTTCCCAGTCTGTGTATTCTGTAATAGCAGTAGCACCAGATGAATTAAGACAGGGTGGAGGAGGGGATTAAGCACAGGGCACGAGGAAACTTGCCGGGTGGAAGGAAATGCTCTATAATGCACTGCAGCAGTTGCTAGCTAGTAGGAGAGTTTAATGATGTGTAAATTCTATCTTAGTAAAGATTTTTAAAATTGGAAAAAAAAAAGTCCTCTGGGAGGGGGAGCAACAAT